AGCCACAATGTCTTGGGGAACCACAAGTTTTTTTCCCCAAATCCATATCTATTTTCCTATCCATCCTTAAAGGCACAAAAGACACACCAGAAGCCAGCACATCACAATGGCAGCTGTAGCCCCCAATGTGACCCTCACAAAATCCAGTAATACAAGTACCTGTGCCTTTAAGGAGGGATGGGCTACCTAAAGGGCATATCTGCACTCAATGTATCTATTTTTATATGGAGGCTCTCATAGATTAGAGTTAGTTGTACTGTGGAAAGCCTTTCCATGTGCACTTTACTTTGAAAGCTAGCCTGCAAACTTTCAGGGGGGTGATGAAAAGGCCACCCCCAAAACAGCAAGGCGGGCCACGCTGCACGAAAATCGAGCAGCGTCGGCTGCCTCATCAAGTCACAGAGGCGGCGAGGGGGTGGCGAGGAGGAGGAGGCAGCAAGCAGAAGGCGGGTCCAGTCACGTAGCTTTTGTTGGGCGGCTTGTGAGGAGGAGGCGGAGGTGCAGAGGAGGAGGCGGAAAGGAGGAGGAGGCGGGTTCAGTCCCCGTAGCTTTGCTGGGGCAGCTTGTCAGGAAGAGGTGCAGAGGAGGAGGAGGAGGAGGAGGCGGGGTGGAGTCAGCCGGTCCGCTTTTTGTTAGGCAGCAGGCGAGGAGGCGGCGGTGGAGCAGGTGGAAGAGGTAGAGGAGACTGAGCAGCAGGAGGGGGCAAGGTAAAGCAGCAGGAGGGGGCGAGGCCGGGACCACGTCGGATCAGGAAGGTCCAGGGCGCCGTTGCACCGTAGGAAGCCGGTGCATGCTGGACAGAATACCAGTCAACGAAGAGCCGTCGGGCTGCAGAGGAGGCCAGGTCCTGCAGCACCAGCCCAGCGGTGGAGGAGGCCAGGGACCAAGCAGCAGGTAAGATGATCATACTGCTGCTAAAGGCACCCTGTGGGGGATGGCCCTAGTTTCGTCTTGCCTAGGGCAGCCCCAAACCAGAATACACCACTGTTGTGCGGTTGCCATATTGTTTCACAGAGCGTCCTGTCTCACGGAGTCAAACTCGGAGTCACGGAGTCAGGTGGGATCTAAGCACGAACAAGGCATAAAGAAGTTGCCACTATGCAGCCAATTAATTACTCTGCTTCACACAAGTCACAACTCCTAATTAGCAAAATGAGGGCCTGCAGGAGTGTCTATTTAAATTTAGATGTTAACAGGCTGTAGTCAGACTAAATCTGATTGATAATTCAGCTTTTTTTAGTCTCTCCTAGGCTCTGGTGATTGTTTGCTTTTGCCTGCTGCTGGTGAGGGTCTCTGACAATAGTGTGGGTGGATATTTATATCTCCCTGGCCAACCACTAGGTGGTTTATTGCCATTTGTGCAGGCTGGGATAGTGTATAAATATTTGGGAGTGACCTTGGGGAGTCAATCTTTCCCTGGGCATCCTGCCTGGGAGTGGGATGCAGTTCTTTGAAAGGACGTCCTTGAGCTGGAGAGAGAGCAGAGTAGGGAACTAAACTATTAGTTGCCCTGGAAGGCCAAAGCTATGAGACAAGGCTATTAAATTTAAACTTGTTCACGCTGGAAGTGAGGTGATTAGGAGGTGACATGATTTTGATGTACAAAATGTTTAGTGGTGATGAAAACATCAGCAATAAACTCTTTACAGTAAACTCCATATCTAAGACTAGAGGATACCATTTAAAATTGGTGGAGAAAAGTTTTAACCACAAAGGGCGTATGGGCTTCTTTTCAGTTAGAGCAGTTACATTTTGGAACTCGCTGTGGTATCAGCAGATAGTATTGAATCATTCAAAAATCAATTAGATACCATCCTAAGAGACCATAACATACAGGGGTAAAAAGTAGATCACACAGGGACTAGTGTGTACACACACACACAAGCAAAACAAATGGCAAACGCACTCATCAATTTGTTACCAGCTTTACAGCAAGGTGCACATGGAAGGGCTTTATACAGTAAAACAGCAAAAAGTGTTTCCAGCACACTCACCAGCCAGCATGCAAAAAAAACGTCTTCTGCAGAAAATGTGAAAGCCGCACAGCCGCGTCAAGGCACCTCTAAATAGTGCGGTCCTAACTCTAAACTATGAGAGTTTCCCTCTTGGAGAACATATGGCAAAAGATCAAATTGGGTGCAGGTTTGTCAGGAGGAAGCCCAACCTCCCTTAAAGGCACAGGGATGCACAAGGGATCCCGCACATCACATCGGCAGCTGAGACCCCACATGCATCACTGCACCAAATCAGTCCAGCAAAACGAATGGCAAACGCACTCCTAAATTAGTTACCAGCTTTACAGCAAGGTGCACATGGAAGGGCCTTGTACAGTAAAACAGAAAAAAAGTTTTCCCAGCACACTCACCAGCCAGAAGGCAAAAAAAACTTGCCTCGCCGCTAAGGTTAAAAACAGAGGTTTAGTTACACGTCTTCTGCAGAAAATGTGAAAGCCTCACAGCCGCGTCAAGGCACCTCTAATAACTTTATGGACCTGTGTCTTTATTCAACCTCAAATACTATGTAACTATGTCCTATCCTCTAAGACCTGCTGCCTGAGAATGGTGACCATGTGATTGAACCGAGGCCTTGGTTCAAGGCCTTGTATGTTTAAGCCAAGGGATTCAGATACCATGGGGGAACTTCTGTCTTAATGAGTTACCTGGAAAGCTGGGCAAAATCTTGCTCCTTAACCTTCTTGGCGGTATTCCCGAGTGTGGCTGGGGGTTAATTTTCAGTATCAAAAGCGGTAACCCCGAGCCACACTCGGGATTACACAGCGCTTCACTTACCATCTCCCTACAAGCCGTGCTGTGTCCTCCAGCCGATGCCGCCATCCGTCTTCCGGGTTCCGTTCCTTGTGAAAAAAAATCGGGGGAAAAACCGGGAAAAAATTAGACTAAAAAAAAGCAAAAAATATTGGGATAATCAGACCGCCAGGGAGGTTAACTAAAGTATGGTGATTTCTCCCCTAGAAGTCAGTAGCTAAACCACTGGGTATCTTGTAGGAGCTGATTTCACAGAATAATGGACTGGCTTAAAGTTTCTCTATTGTTGAAGGTTGTAAATTCTTTTTGTCTCTTTTCTGGAGTCTGCCAAGTCCATGGGTGTCCTGTGCCCTCACTCTCTCTCTCAGGAGTGTTAAATGAGAAGAAATAAACTCTTTTTATGCATTTAAAAGTGACTGGCGCTCATGTGTTCACCTTGCTCCACTATTGCTGAGGACCTGACCGGAGGTAAAATGATAGGCCATGCAGGGGTCAGGGGTTGCAACAAATATAGATCCTTTAGGTTTAATGATAATATATACTATGATTATAGCAAAAGGAAAGCTGTATTTAAATAATATTTTCTTAACTATAGCAAAGAGGCAATTAGCAATGATCAAATTCAGCAGCTTCCTTACTCACTTGATGTTGTTTTGTGTGCTGCCTTCTTGCTTTAAAGCTGTTGTGAAAGACTTGAGGCATGGAATACTTTTTTGTATTGCAATTTTAAACAAGTTTTTTGTATGCACTGCAAAGAAAAACCTGTAAATAATTCTATTACGATACTAGAAAAGATACATTGATGTATATAACAGAAACATAAAAAATTTGAAGAACTCATAAATAATCATATGCATGCTGGACCGGCCATAAAGCATTCCGGGCACTTGTCCTTTTGGCTGGGCCAAATACAATCAGCTTGATTGTGTTTGGCCTGGCCCGCTATGCCTGAAGGCCTACTCCGAGCAGGGACGGTGTCTATCGAAATGTCCCCACATCGGTGTTCTGTTAGTTTTCTACACCGGCGCTATCAGATAACATCCTATACCTCTCTAGACATGTGCCGGAGTCGCCCCTCCCTGGGGGCCAATAGGAGAGCGGTGTTCACTGTGGAGGATGCTGGGAAGTGTAGTGCCAGGGTGTCTCTGAGCCCATAATGGGATTGTTCAGGGTCGGTTGTTCATAGGTAGCCGCCTGAGGGCTGACTAAGGATGCCTTGGCGAAAAAGTGCTTTTAGCAGCATTGGTAGTCATTATGTAGCTTTCCCGAAGAAGGTAGAAACCTTCGTCAGGAGATGTTTATAGAGATACTATCACTAAGCCAGGTGCCTGTGTGAGAAGCTGAAGATGGAAGCTGCTGTTCTCTGAATGCTGGGCTGTCTGGGCAATGTTGATAAACAAACTTTATTGTGAGTGACCTAACTCCCCAGTACAAGTCAGGAAATAGCTGCTTTGCTCTGCGGCTTTCTATAGAGGTACTTTAGCCATTAACTTCAATGGTTCGTTAACTGCATTCACTCTACGTTCGGGGGGGGGGGGGGGGGGGGGGGGTTTCTTGGT